AATATATTTAGAAGGCCTACAAAATTGTAAATGAACCATACATAAAATATTATTTTTTTATATTGGGTATATTATATTTGATGTGAACATTAAGTCAAGACATGAACAGTTTCGGTTAGATCAGCGTAGCATTTCCTGAATACGGGAAGGTAACAATTTACTAAATTTACCATTTCTACTTTATTTTTGTTTATGAGTTCAACTTCATCTCCTAGACTAGAAAGCTCCTTGATGGTTGACCGGCAACTGTACTTGCGTTTTAGTGAGGCCAACGTTGAAACAGGGGAATTCCCGGTGCCCGAAGAGTGAACAGTTATATTCGATGTGTGGTCGAACCAAATTCGCGCCTTTTATACCCGCTGCTCAGTCAATATATGTATGTACTTACACGGATAGTTTCAGTTTGGCGGCAATATTTTCTATACAACCAGGGGAATGGGAGAAGTTGACATAAGAACGATTTTTGGAGTGTGATTGAGTAATTCATAGGCAACCTAGTGACTATATCAGTTTCGAGTTTCATTGCATTTGGATGGACAGGGCAAGTATTTTTAAAAAAGGTCTCCAAACAAGTGGTATTTGAATATGGATAGTGCAAGTGACGCCGAGAAAAGGTGGTCGTTTCGTGGTCAGAGAGTGGAATGCCTTAGCCCAGTGCGCCTGTCGTGGACAACTTTTCTATCTGCCGCGACCAGATCATGGATCTTTGCATAAAGTGCCAGGCTAACCCGCATTTTAGCTCCTTTGAGGAAGGCACCGTGGCCTGGGGGTATGCAATCATGCCTTTTAGTTTCACTACATTTTGCGCTGGCTCAAGTTGCATCACCTCTGTCCACTGGGATAATCACGAGTGGGAGCTCCTGAAGAATGGACGCAAACCACCTGGACAGAGCTCAGACATAGCATCGCATTGGTGCATATCTCTCTGGTGCATGCCCAGCGATAGTAGCTCATTTTTTTCTATAAGTTTTTTAATTTCTTTTTTTATAAGTGTAAAGCAGCAACTGCTGCCCTCATACTCCGCTTGGAATCGAGAGGAATCGATCTTGGAGTTTGGGTGGTAGGATATAAGGTCTGTGCATTAGAGACGAAGGACTACAAGTTGATTTTAGCACCGAAAGAAGGTAAAATTCGCACCTGCGTTTAAGCTAGAAAGCTATTTTAGTGATGGCGACAACACAGCAGCCAGCCTGGAGCTGCAAGGGACACAGCTTAGAGTAATGTCGTCCTACATGGCTCACGAACAAAACGACCCTCCCAGCGACCTCGTACCCTAGATAACCAGCAACAGCGAGAGGTTAACTATGGGTAGACAACAAGATCAATCTTGCCCTATATAAACGAGAAGGGACGTGTGAGACGCTTCTTACGCGTCACAACTTTATATTTTGTCAAATTTTACATTTTTTTTCATCTGTCATCTATATCGACAACACTTCTCACGCCAACACACTCTTTAAGCTCGCCACCCTCCCCTAGAGCAATGCACTGCAGACTCATGGCAGATGCAGAGGCAGAGACGCGGCAGAGGCAGAGGCCGCGCACTACACGAAGCAGAGTGTTAATGAAAAAACCCACCCTGCCCCGAAGCTTTTGTTGCTCTTTTTACATTCTCTCATTCACACTCTGCTTCTGCTTCACTTGGCCCCTGCCTCTGCCCTCCCCCTGGCGATGACTCTTCCGACTTTTAACCCACCCCGTCCCACAGCATATATTTGTTTTTTGTTTTGTGTGAGGGCGCTGCCTCTGCCTCTGCCGCAAGTCAGCAGTATGTGGGTCTAGGGAAGGGCAGCGAGCGTGTTGGTGTGAGAAGTGTTGTAGATGTAGATGACAGATGAAGAAAAAATTTAAAATTTGATAAAACACCGCTGAGGTGCAGATGCACTCTTGTCCCAATGACCAGTTTTGGTGGCTGTTTACGCCAAATTAGCGCAAAGGGCTTATGGCCGGGAGCAATTAGTATTTTGTATAAGTAAAATGAATTTGTAGCATTAAGCTATTGAATTGTTGCATTTACGACATACTCACAGAAGTTTGTTGCTATAGAACATACATGTGATATGTGAATACGATAGAGAAAGAGGAAGAACATGCATTTAATAGGTGAATATCGAAATTGAAAAGAAGAAGAGATTAAATTGATTTGAATTCCGACTCGGTCGAACCAGCAGCAGGCTTTTTATTTGGAGATTTTGATTCCGAACTGGTTGCGAGGAGTTGCGGAAACAGTGGCCAAAAGGTAATTTTTAAAAGTTAAAACCAAGACTCGGTTTTTAACGCTCTGTATTAGAAAAAGAGTGACCATCAAAGTTGCGTACAAGAAATTTTCATAGATGGCACTTTAGAAAAATCTGATGTGAAACCTGCACAGAATGTGCAGGGAAAAAGTACCAATTTTATTGCTGTTTTAAATATCTCATAAATTGGAAAATACGATTAACTGATCCAATTTTTTTGATGCATTTTATTTAGTAGGCTTTTTACTACGTGTTCTGTAATGTGAACGATATCTAGTGGTTGGCGATGTCTTCTACATCTAGATGTAGTCCTTAGTGCCGGGTTTAAAAGTTGTGACGCGTAAAAAGCGTCTCACACGTCTCACACGTCTCATTTTTGAAATACACTTGTAACAGTGTGAGCATTCAGATGTCTGCATGCAAAATTTGGTGGCTCTAGCTTTTATGGTCTCTAAGAGACAGACATGGCTCTGTCGACTCGGCTATTGATGCTGATCAAGAATATATATACTTTATGGGGTCGGGAAGGCTTCCTTCTGTGCGTTACATACAACCGTTATTCGCAAAAATACATATGAAAACCAGTAGATCGAAAAAAGCCTGCTGGAAAAAATTCTGTACTGAAATCGAGGAGACGGCAGAAGCCGCAAGGCTGAGCAAGATTCTCTCAAAAACAAATACCTCTGTGGGATATATCAAGAGTAAAGATCGCACGTGGACCAACCCCAGCAAGGACTTCCCACACATGCCACTCGACACTTCCCAAGGTGTACAACCACCGAACCACTTGAACGCCTCAGTGGGGTCCCAGCCACCTCGAAGGCGCACCTCATCACAAAACTGAACATCTGCTGGTCGATGAACAGCTTCAAACGGTTCAAATCGCCAGGTCCAGACAAGGTCTCCCCAGTTCAATTGCAGAAGGCTGGAGTCCAGCCAATCAACTGGTTACAATGTATCTTCAAAAAGATACTGACAGTGGGGAAGATTCCTCGAGCAGGGCTCAAGACAGAAATTGTCTTCATCACGAAAGCGAGAAAAGCCTCCTACTCAACGGAAAAGGACTTCAGACCGATTAGTCTGAGCTCCTTTCTCCTCAAAACCTTTGAGATAATAGTAGGGCTACAACTGAGGACAATCGGAGGAGCAAAGTAGTGTCATATGCAGACGACGTTGGCTTAATATTCACGGTACAATTTCGTCAAACAATCTGTGATCTTATGACCATAAAACTCGCGCGATTGTTAGATTGGACAAGATCGTACTTGTACTATTCACTAACAAGTAAAAAACTCCGCTACTCAACCCCTCAAAACTAATCAAATGTAGGCTATCCTTTAGCGACAGTACCAGTAAACTGGGGTTGGTAATAGATAAGAAGCTTAATTGGAACCTAAACACGAAAGAAAGAGTGAGGAAGGCTACAAAGGTCCTATACATTGCAAAAAAAAGTTATCGGAATAAAATTGGGCCTTAACCCACGTATAGTTCAATGGATATAACAAGCCGTAGCCCAACCAATACTGCTCTACGGAGTCACAGTGTATGTTGGCCGGCTCTGTCAAAAATGACGATCAACTGGCAAAGGTCCAACGACTTTTTGATGCAAATGAATCCTTTCCTGTGCCTGCAGGGCAAAGACCTTGCAAGAAAGGAACCGGCAGTAAAGGCAGCAATACGACACTATGGTCCCTCGGTGATCCTCAGGAACAACAACATAGTACCTTATAGAATGGACTATTGCGTTCCCAGGTAGTACACGAAAACCCTCTTCGAGGTTATCATTTCGCCTCCCGGATCATTGCAGTGTCTTCCAAGCGGAAGTCATGGCGTTGACGAAGGCACTGAGATGTCTCCACAGTCATGGCTACTCACCTAAATATCTACAGTGGCTACTCAAATCACTAAACGAGATTTCTTCGAACTCGAATGCAGAGACAAATTTCCGCATGAGATTTCATGGCATTATGTTATTAGCCTACTACGGGTCCGACATCTCGAAAAAGCGCACCGCTGAGCTATGTAAACTCAGCAGAAAAAGATGCAGCGTAGTCGTTCGCCTCCTCACAGGGCATTGGATAATAGGCAAACACGCAAATAGGCTTGGTGCCCCCTTTAACGGCTTCTGTCGTAGCTGTAGAGTCGAGGACGAGGAGGAGACAGTAGAACATCTGTTCTGCTCCTGTCCGGCTCTCAGTAGAAGGAGGCTAAGATATCTAGGCTCACCTTTTTTAAACGAACATTCAAAAATGACTTTTATAGGTCCCAGGAAGATAGCAAACTTTGTAAGGGCATCGGGATGGGACCATTGCTGACACCGTACAAAGCGGGAGGAGAAGAGGAGTGGATCCAAGCGGAATCAAAACGGACAATCTCGACAACCTAACCTAACCTACATACATGCACTTATCACCACAAATCAAATATACCCTGTTTACTCTTCGAGTACCGGGAATATAATATTTGGACCCTGAAAGCTTTTTGTATTTTTTGAAGAAATTTTAGTTTGTAAGTACCAAGCGGCGAATTAAACTAGATTCACAAATTCGCGGATTGGAATTTGTAAACATTTGAAGGTGTTATCCAAAGATTTTATTTTTGAAAAATCTAGTCTCTGGCTGGTCCTTCCTGCTGCACCCTAAGATGCAATTCTGACACTAAAACGCGATGCAAACGCGAGACCCAAAATACAAAATAAATCGACTGCGCTCTATGGTAGGAGCAGTCTGGACCGAGCCTGTTAGTCTGCTGAACTTGCATGAGAATCACAGCTGCATTCGCTGAAAAAATGAGAATCTCAGAGGCCAGGTTATTAGCCCTATCGGAGCGTGTTGTTGGCATTAGGCACACACACACAACATCACATCGCAGCGTCACGGCGTCGCATCTAATTCGCGTTTGATTATTTAAATTAGCAAAATGAGTGACAGACCGGACCGGAGTGGACCGGAGGGAACCGAAAACACGCTCTCAAATTGAATAGTTGCTGCAGCTGGTGTCCGAGAAGATCCAAAAATAAACGGCATCAAAGTGCCCAGGCGGGCTGGACCACTGTGGAAAATTGTGCTGTCCAGTACTGCTCCGGGAGCCCGAGACCGTTGAACTGAGTGACGAGTATTACGACGCAGCGCTGCACAGACGGAGGAGCCCATAGCCCCACCAGCCGAGCTCTGGGCACAGAAAATTCACTTTTTCAGAAAATGTATTTAGTGCAGGGGCGACATTCGCAGCGACAACGAAAACGACAGCGACAGCAACAGCGAGAGCAACAGCCGTAAGCCAAACGCCAAAAGCCAATCGCCATAACCACTCACATATACCGTATACATATATATGCGAACTTTGCAGACTTGACTTGCAGCACTGAGCACGTCGGAAAGCAGCGACAATTGAGAGGAGGAGAAACTGCCGGGACAGTTTTTTTGGGGGGAGTCAGTGGAAAAATAGGATTCCAATTCAGGAAAGGGCTCGTGCTGCTGCTACTGCTGTTGCTGCGTCGCTCAGATTAGAGCTGAGCAAACCCTAAACCAAACCCTAACCTTGAGCAAACCAAAGCAAGACAAGAAGCCACATCGTTGAAGAGAACATGGGCAAATTAGTGACTTATATCTTTATCGTCAGCTCAGTGGTGCTGTGGTATCTGCTGTTATTCGATGGCGGCAGAGGCGTGGAGGCGACCAACGGGCACGGCAGCCAGCTGGAGGGGCGCGACTTCCACCACCACGGCGGGAGCCACCACATACGCCGTAAGTAGCTTTCATTCCGACTTCAATGAGCCATCCACGGTCACGTCTCTACGGTTGCATCCCTCAGGTAACATCAACCACTGCTGGCGGCGCTACGATGGCTACAACCTGCAGAACACCATTGTCAACAAGAAGGAGCAGCTGAAGAAGCCCTACGGCATATTGTGCAATTTCAAGTGCACTTGGTTCTTCACAACAAGGTGAGCCGAGAGGGTCTGTGCTCCCCAATGACCACCCTCACTCACACTCTCCACTCACCACTCTCCACTCTCGCTCTCTCATTGCAGCTTCCCCACTTGCGAGTTTATCTATGACTATAAGCTATCCTGCGTGCTGTTCACCTCACTGCCCGACTGTACCACCGTCAAGTGTACGCTCTTAAATTATTTTAGCTAGAGCCCCAGCTGCTAGCCCAGCCCCGCTCCCCACTGCAGTGCAGGTCATATCCGTAAACATACTGTTAGCTATTTTATTGTATTTATTTATATTTCAGTAGCAGTCTAAGCTTTTAATTTCATAGAATAAGTCTGATTACTACTAGATTTTATATGGAAATGGAAACCGTTTAAGAGGTACATAAAGAGGGACAGAAACACTTTGAATCATCTCTTTGAATTTGACAATCGAAGCTACTCCAAGTGTGCGTCAGCAACGCCATTTTCACTAATTTTGTTGAGCAGGTTTAAATGCTACAAATGCTTTCAGTGCACTATGGGTAAAAAGCCCGTTTTTTTGGCATTAACCAAACCAAAAGAGCTCTACAAATTGGCATGAATGTTTGCTAGACTAAAGTAGATTTTTGGAAAATAAATGTAGTCATTTGGACCCCGTCTACCTCCCGCCCCCATGCAAACTGGAACCCATTGTTCAAAAGATTAATTATGCTAAAAGATCCTTTAAACATTTAAGAACTTTTGAAAAAAATATATTTGATTGACTGATTGAATGATTGTTTGGTTAAAAGTAATTTGATTGGAATCGCTCCAACGTCCAATTGAATTTGGCTTAGTACTTGTTTAACTAAGCAATAAATTTGATAATTTTCGTTTGAATTGTAATAGTTTCATTTTTAGTTAGTCAGTTTTTGTCAACAGTCTTTAAATTACAACACTTTATTGTGTCTGCTTCACGATTGTTGTTGGTCAAGACCTCCAGCAGCGCTGCATACGTGAACTCATAAATATCTGAAAAATTTAAAATTTTTCGAAAAGGGGCAAAAACATGCAATAAGCATTAACACCACATGATTCTATAATAATTGGTTAATAACATGTAACTTGAACTTCTGTGCAGTGGTGTGCTGTGCAAAAGTAATATTTCACAGAATATTGATCAGAATATTATTCTTGATCAGCATCAATAGCCAAGTCGATAGAGCCATATCTGTCTGTCCGTCTGCCCGTCTTGTTGAGCGCCTAGTACTCAGAAAAAATAAGAGCTAGAGCCACGAAATTTTGCACCCAGACTTCTGTATGCTCACACTGTTACAAGTGTATTTCAAAAATGAGCCACGCCACCTTCCGCCCCCGCAAAAGGGCGAAAACCTCCCAAATCTACAGTTTTGAAGATAAAAGAAAACTAAAAACGCCATTCCGTAGGGAATGGATATCTATCAAATCACCAAATTGGGATCCGATCGGATCATTATAGCCAGAATAAAGAAATTAATTTACTGTGACTAAACCCACCCTGTCCAGCAGCTTTTGTTGTTCCTTTCACATTCTCTCATTCACTCTCTGCTTCTGCTTTACTCGGCCCCTACCTATTTACAATTTGAGAAAACACCGCTGAGGTGCAGATGCAGTATTGTCCCAATGACCAGTTTTGGTGGCTGTTTACTCCAATTAGCCAAATTATGGCCCAGAGCAATTAGTATTTTGTATAAGTAAAATGAATTTGTAGCATTAAGCTATTGAATTGTTGCATTTACGACATACTGACAGAAGCTTGTTGCAATTCAACATACATGTGATATGTGAATACGATAGAGAAAGAGGAAGAACATGCATTTAATAGGTGAATATCGAAATTGAAAAGAAGAAGAGATTAAATTGATTTGAATTCCGACTCGGTCGAACCAGCAGCAGGCTTTTTATTTCGAGATTTTGATTCCGAACTGGTTGCGAGGAGTTGCGGAAACAGTGGCCAAAAGGTAATTTTTAAAGATAAAACCAAGACTCGGTTTTTAACGCTCTGTATTAGAAAAAGAGTGACCATCAAAGTTGCGTACAAGAAATTTTCATAGATGGCGCCACTTTAGAAAAATCTGCTGTGAAACCTAGCGGCCATTATTGCACAGAATGTGCAGGGAAAAAGTACCAATTTTATTGCTGTTTTAAATATCTCATAAATTGGAAAATGGATTTTATGCATTTTATTTAGTAGGCTTTTTAATACGTGTTCTGTAATGTGAACGATATCTAGTGGTTGCCGATGTCTTCTACATCTAGATGTAGTACTGAGTGCCGGGTATAAAAGTTGTGACGCGTAAGAAGCGTCTCACACGTCCCTTCTCGTTTCTATTTATTTCTGCGTATCTCCTTTGTCGGACGCTGCTTTGTTAAAAGCGATATTTCCGCTCAAGTTTGTGGAGGTTTTGTGATGAGGAGCCAACTAAAGTTTACCAAGTGGGCTGTGCCAGGCGGGAGCTCAACCACAGCCGTTAAGCGTACGTCTGGGGAGTACGAGAGGGGGGAGTGCACAGATCAAAGAACACACGCCTCAGATGCGGCTTGGACCAGATGGACCAGAGCCTAATGGAATCAAACGAAATGACATTGATAGCTGAAGGCCAGTGGACCCCGCAACAGAAGATCAAGTGATTTCGACTCGGATCGAGTGGATCTCGGCTCTGTCCATGTATTCGTCACTGGGATTGGGGTCGTTGTCGTTGTGCGTTGTGCTTTGTGCGTTGATAGGGGGAACGTAATTCGGATGGATGGACTGTGGATCGGAATGGAACGCAGCGCTATCGCTCGTTTTGAAATTAGTGCGTAATTCCAACATCTGCTCCCATGCTACCATGCCACCATGCCAGCGTGCTTGGGTGCGTGGGCTGTCGCTGGCTACTACATATTTTCATGTTGATTGGCAAATTACGGCCATTTCTGGGGACTGGGAATTAGATTACTTAGAAGTTGTTATAAACAAATTAATTAACACAGCGCAAAAGTTGTGTCACCTTCTGGTGGGTCATTTCAACGCTGTCGTTTCGAGTACTCTTGGGGACACTGCCCAGAAAGTTCATGTAAGTGCTACAGTAACTGCAATGCAGTCATGTAGTCTCCCAAACCCTCACTTATGTATATAAGTACATATGTATGTACATATGTGTGTATCCCTTCTTTATCATAATGTATGAATGCCCATGACAGATTAGCTTTATTTTTTTAATGGTAATGTAAATGTTAATGTTAATGCTATAAGTAGTAGACAAGAAGTACATACATATGTATGTACATACAGAAATGTGTGTGCACACAAAAATACATACATATGTGCCAGCGTTTTAGCCAAAAATTAGTTTTTAATGTATGAATGCCCATGACAGATTAGCTTTATTATACCCGGTACTCGAAGAGTAAATAGGGGACATTGTATTTTTTCACAAAGTGAATGTATGTAACACACAGAAGGAAACGTTTCCGACCCCATAAAGTAAATATATTCTTAATCAGCATCAATAGCCGAGTCGATTGAGTCATTTCTGTACGTCTGTCCGTCCGTCTTGTTGAGCGCCAGGATCTCAGAGACCATAAAAGCTAGAGCCACCAAATTTTGCATCCAGACTTTTGTATGCTCACACTGTGACTAGTGTATTTTAAAAATGAGCCCCGCCCCCTTCCGCCCCCGCAAAATGTAAATGTTAATGTTAATGCTATAAGTAGTAGACAAGAATAATTGTTCTCAGTACGCACGCACGTGTGTAAATACTTCTTAATAAAATGTGAATGGAGCTTACGGGAAAACCTGCTCCAAATGGAATATTCAAAACCAATACTGATGTTGGGACACTATACAGTACTCTACAGCTTTATCAGGGGTATTTCCACAACGAAGTGAAAATATTCTGCATTTGTTTATACGCTGAGTTCAGAGAGATCTAAGGACTGTTTAATTTTTTGGTCTCCTTGGACCTTTTCATGGAAATGGCCATTTCAATATTATTATTATTTATATATTTTATGCACAATTTTGCTGCTATCCGTCTTATCTTTCAAGCTTATCAAAAATACATCACTCTTTTTCTCTCTATATTATTTTTTTGTCGTCGAAGTTCATCGAAGGACTTACTTACACGTTGTGTGATATGTAAAAGTCGAGCCAAATCTAATTTTTTGGTAGCTGTTCGATATGTGTACAATATGTGTGTAACAGAAAAGTGGCTATCCTCAATCACAACCAAATTCCCACGATGGATAGCGTCACATGGGGAACTTTTAATTCTTGCGTTTATGCATAATCATATGGTACATGCTGGGATTGAACTGTTCAGACTCAAGTGCGAGTGTTTTTTTTTTTAATTAAAAACTCATTTTTGGCGAAAACGCGGTGCCAAAAATATGTATTTATAAATTTGCATTTAATGCTCTGACCTACATATGTATGTGCATATGTATTATTGTTTGCACAAACATATCTGTATGTACATACATATGTATGTACAAGTAGCTATGTATTTGAAAGCGAAAACCCAAAGGTTTCGGCGGCAACAGCTGTATCCCAGAGCCTGAGTCAGAAGCCGGTAGAATAGATGGCATAAGAGAGCGAAAGCGAAGGTGGCGGAGTGTTTCCATCTCGCTCCGGGCTCACGGCAGTCATGGCAGAGAGTCGCAGAAGAGAGGACGGCAAAGAGGCGGACGAGGCGTCCCATATGAGCGCATACAATAATTTATCAATTGGCTTCAATTTAGGCACACGTACTCGTACTCGTATGTAAGCGAAACACAACCCCAAGCCTCCGGATTTTCTTTCTTTCCCATTTTGATTTTTGTGGTGTTGTCGCTCCGGCTGCGTCCCCTGTTCATTCGAGACTTTCGGCATATTCGCGACACCCATCGCAGGCTGCAGTTAAGCAGCGCGCCGAGACACTCACATTCACATTCACGCAAAGCACTCAAAGCACGCAGACACGCAGGCCCTCAGAGCCGCTCCATGGCACAAACGGACCTCGCCTCAGACGGGGTTTGTACTTTCGATTGTTGCGCCATGGCCAAATCGGTGGCACCCCCGCGACATACCAAGGGAGCCACAACCATTGCCATCCGCACACGCAGAAGCACAACCACAGCCACATTCGTGCTGCTGCTGGTCCTATGCTGTCTCTGCGACCACAACTATGGAAGTACGTAATCCCAGCCACCTTCCTGATTTCCGACTAGTATTTGTTTTTGTTTTATTTTTTGTTCAAGTGTTTAAGGCCGAAATTAGACTACAATTCGGTCACTGTGCGTATGATGTGTTTTAATTTGTTACATATGTATATAAGTACACGTAAATTGGGTGATTGATTGCTGCAAATACTTGAACTTGCATGTAGCTCTCCCCTCATGGGAAAAACGATTCAACAGAAAATACAATAAGGATCTTGTGAACTTCCCGTTTAACGGGAAGCACAGCATGGTGGAAAGTTCAAAAAGGGAACCTTTTCTCTTTATGGAATATTTTATCTTATCAATAGTCTAATCTAAGCTGTTTGCCAGCCTAAGAGAAATACGAGAGTGCAGCCGGGCAATTATGTAGGTAAAAAATACTCCCTTTAATTGGCTGTGCTTAAGGAAGATCTGGTGCTGGCAAACAGATTAGATGCTTGGAACTTTCTCACATTGAGTCGTGTGTGTTTCCGGGTGTGTGACCACATTTGAGTACCATCCACAGGCTGGGCATCACAGTGCTGGAGGAAGCACAATTCCGGCTCGATTCAAACGGCAGATGGTGAATTTAAGCGACCGTTTGGTATACTCTGCACATATCGCTGCTTCCTGTGGTTTCCGCCAATGTAAGTTTTACAATCACTCACTCACTCACACTCGCTAAGGCACATTGCCATTGAAAAATTCACCCAATAACCCACTCGTACATATGTATGTAAAAATGTATGTACCTTGTATGTATTAATGTATGTATGTATGTATAACACACAACATACAATTTATGCATGCTTCTGTTACTTTGTGGTGTGAACTGCATTTTAAAGTTAACTTATTTGGCGTTTTCTTTGGGCTTTCTTTTTGGACCTTGGACCTTGGGATAAGAAAACATTTAAAAATGCACGCACACGCAAACATATGAACATAAATTGTACATTTATGTACATATGTACTTATTTAGCCACACATGTACAGTGGTAGCTCCCCAACGTGAACACTTCAGTTTTTTTATCCGCCGAAAGACTGCATGGAAATGTCTACTGTACAGGTGTACGTTAAAGCACGGAATTCGAATTGCACACCAATTCAAATGGCTAGGAGCATTTTTGGATCGTTTTCAATCGTTATTGCTGTAGCGGGCAGAGAAGCTACTGCCATCGACATCGCCATCGCTATCGCCAAAGCCAACGCCATTTGGAATAAATGTTGCATCAGCTTTTAATCCTTTTTTCGCTGTTGGTGCTCCATCCACACCATCCATCCACACACAATTACCAGCATCTGGAAGTCTCTCTGTTTTCAGTGTTTCCTTTTTGATTTCAGTTACCCGTACTGCGAGTTCATTTTCGACCTGCGCTTATCGAGGCACTTCACGTCTTTCCCGGACTGCTACGAAATACGCTGCAACGAGACGTTTACGTTCTTCGGTCACGAGCAGTCGAACTTCGGACATTGATACCTCCTGCACCGCCCTTCTGCTGTTCCATGTGTAAACTTTTTTCCTGCTTCCTCTAGTGCTGATTATTCCATATTTTTTTGTGTTTCCGTGACTACATGCTGTTTGATTTAATAAATATGGTTAACTGCGTTAAAAAGCAGCTATTTGATTTCAGTAAAGAAGGTTAGGCTGCGCTTGTTCGAACACATAATTATGTCACAAATTATGCCTCCGTAGGCAACGGAGGGAAGGAAGCGGCAGCGGGTAGCAATTCGTCGCTTCTGTTTTATTGCGACCTTTTTTAAAATAAAAGATTCGGATCAACGCGAAGTGTTCACCAACGACAAAAATAAATCGATGAAGACTTACGCTCGTTTCGTATTGCAGTCGAAGCAATGCTTATGTACATATGTACATACATTCTTACATACATATGTACATACATACGTATCGTATATGTATCATACTCTCTATACTGCGTATGCATGATGCAGCAGAGTTTTTTTGCTGCTGCTGTTGTTGTAAGACATCTTCAAAATTCAAAGACCATGGCCAGTGACCATCTCTACTTCAGTCCATCATAATGCTGAATTGCTGACAACGGGGCGTTGATAATAATCATTATAATGAAGGACCATTAAAGGGACAAATAAACAAAGCTAAGGCACAGATTTGGCTACACACGCAGAAACACCAGCGAGTACTATGGGTAAAAAGCCCAAATTGTTGGCATTAATCCCAAAAGTAAAGATAGATTTCTTTAAATTTGCACCAATGTTTGTTAGACCGAATAATTTGGGAATTTGCGTTCTCTTTCGTAGTGACCAGACGTGTTTTTGTTTTGCGCTCCGTATTTTCCTTTCTATTTTGGATAAACAACGGGTTTTTTTTCGAAATAATTCTTCTATAATTATTGAATAGCTTGCCGCTTTTCTTAACTATCCTAATACGCGAGTGCTTGCCTATTATTTTGTTTAAAATTAAAAAGCATAAGTAAACACGCAGCCAATCAACACACAAACACGAAAAAGAACAACATTCATGCGGGAGTGATAATTGGCGAGAGAGAACATCAACGCGAAGACAGAAAGTGAGATATCAAGCTCATTGACAAGAGGGAGAGAGCGAGAGTTATGAAAGACACGTCACCGCACGCGACACTGTTTTAGCTGCCGCTGCGCTTGTCCTTCTCTCCTCTCTGTGCTCATCTGTTTTCGATCCCGCTTTAAAAATTTCTTTAAGCAATTGGTCGGCACACTGGTCCCATTGCTATTTGTTTTGTGAAAATAATATTTATTTGTTTTATTTATTTATATATTCAAAATAAATAATAAAATAATGGAATACTTGGTTGTGTGCTCCGCTAAGGCTTGCAAAAAGCAGATCACCCACGACCAGCTGATCATCCCTTGCTGGCTCTGCGATAACGTAGTGCACGCAAAATGTATTGGGTTCTCAGGCCTCGTGGGTGACGCAATTTCGAAGCGTAATGGTCTGCATTACAGTTGTGAGGCATGTCGGTCTATCGAGAATGACATGGTCACGTTTATGAGGCAGACGCGAAAGGGCTTTAAGGAGCTGACCGTGTGCTTTAAAAAGCAGTACGATCGGCTTCTAGCCATGGAATCTCAATTCAGCAGTTTTAAAGTGCTGAATGAGTCTCCCAGGCGCAAAAAAGTCACTCCTCGTGATCTGCAAGTGCCTGTCCCTCGATCAACTATCTCCGTCCACTCCGATAGTGCAGCAGCTAATTTCGTTCGCCACTCCAAGGGCAACGACAACTGCTGGTGATCAAGTTTCGGCTACCGAATCGATCGTCTCGGAGAACATGCAGCCAGTTAGTACTGTAGCGTCCGTGTCTGTCGAGTCCGTTCCAAAGCCCATCCCATATATTTCGATCCCACCAGTTAATAAACGTCCCGGACCACCGGATATTGCCGTCACAGGTACCAGATCTGTGGTGCCAAAACCTCTGGTGGGAGTCCCACCAAAGCGGCAAGTTTTTGTCTCTCGGCTTGCCCCTGACCTCACATCTAATGATGTAACTGCTTTTATACAAAGCAAAATAAAAGCCGTTGGCTTAAAGGTGGAGAAGTTTAATTTCTCTTATGCCAGGGAGATATCCTCTTTCAAGATTAGCGTGTCTCCAACTCATTTCGAGACCATTTGCTCTTCCAAATTTTGGCCAGAGCACCTGGTTGTGAAAGAGTTTAAGGCTAAGAAGAAAAATAGGCCCCCCATAACTCTTCCTAGTAGTGAGGCCAGTGGTCCTTCCTCCTCCGCTCCATTCTCCTCTTCCCACTGCAATTCCTTGCAGTCAAAAAACTAACATCCCTCTTTGTAGCCTATCAAAATGCTCGCGGCTTACGTAGTAAGCTGAGCACTCTTTTTATGGATAGTTTCACATTTTCATCCCATGTTATTGTGTTTACCGAAACCTGGTTAAAGCCGGACATTCTTAGTTCCGAAGTTTTGGCAGATCGGTACACAACTTATAGAAATGATCGTTCGTCTCGACGTGGAGGAGGGGTTCTGATTGCAGTAAACTCTAACTTTACGTCGGAACTTTTCATAGTCCAGGTCTCACAAGACCTGGAATTCCTCTGTGTTAGACTGATNTCGCTGCTGATCAACTGTCTCCGTCCACTCCGATAGTGCAGCAGCTAATTTCGTTCGCTACTCCAAGGGCAACGACAACTGCTGGTGATCAAGTTTCGGCTACCGAATCGATCATCTCGGAGAACATGCAGCCAGTTAGTACTGTAGCGTCCGTGTCTGTCGAGTCCGTTCCAAAGCCCATCCCATCTATTTCGATCCCACCAGTTAATAAACGTCCCGGACCACCGGATATTGCCGTCACAGGTACCAGATCTGTGGTGCCAAAACCTCTGGTGGGAGTCCCACCAAAGCGGCAAGTTTTTGTCTCTCGGCTTGCCCCTGACCTCACATCTAATGATGTAACTGCTTTTATACAAAGCAAAATAAAAGCCGTTGGCTTAAAGGTGGAGAAGTTTAATTTCTCTTATGCCAGGGAGATATCCTCTTTCAAGATTAGCGTGTCTCCAACTCATTTCGAGACCATTTGCTCTTCCAAATTTTGGCCAGAGCACCTGGTTGTGAAAGAGTTTAAGGCTAAGAAGAAAAATAGGCCCCCCATAACTCTTCCTAGTAGTGCGGCCAGTGGTCCTTCCTCCTCCGCTCCATTCTCCTCTTCCCACTGCAATTCCTTGCAGTCAAAAAACTAACATCCCTCTTTGTAGCCTATCAAAATGCTCGCGGCTTACGTAGTAAGCTGAGCACTCTTTTTATGGATAGTTTCACATTGTCATCCCATGTTATTGTGTTTACCGAAACCTGGTTAAAGCCGGACATTCTTAGTTCCGAAGTTTTGGCAGATCGGTACACAACTTATAGAAATGATCGTTCGTCTCGACGTGGAGGAGGGGGGTATTCCCAGCAAAGCTACCCAGGTCATATGTATCCATATAATTTACCAAGGTCGAATGGAATTTTCTGTCCTTTGTTTAATGAAGGCTCCTTACTTCATGAACTTAAATTAGTTAAGCCGGTATTTTCACCGGGCCCTGAGGGAGTTCCCGGCTGTGTACTCAGGTACTGTGCCGAGTCTCTGTGCGGACCTTTGCTTAAAATATTCACTCTATCTATCCATTCTTCTAGCTTGGGGGTAGACCTTCCTTAGGAAATATTAAGGAGAGGTATTTTTTCCATCGTTCAGACTGCGATTTTTGATATCTCTATATATATTCAATAGGCGATAAGGATTTTACAAGCTCTTTGAAAATTGAGGCGTGAACGTCGTAGAGACGTTTAGTGAATATAGAGGTCGTGTCGTTCCTAAATATGCCGCTGCTAGTTGTTGCACTAATCCTTTAGAGTTCACCTCCTTTGTAATTAAAGGCTTCCAAGGTAACTTGCAGACGGATGTTATTTACACTGACTTCAGTAAGGCATTCGATTCTGTAAACCATTCTCTTCTTGCACAAAAGCTCGACCTTCTAGGGTTTCCGCCCAATCTGTTGAGATGGATTTCTAGCTACCTGTGTTCTAGGTCTCAAAGGGTCCTTTTCAAAAACTCCTTATCTTTTCCTGTTATGGTTACTTCTGGAGTACCACAGGGTAGGCATTTAGGCCCCTTACTTTTCACACTCTTTATTAATGACCTGCCTTCTGTTTTAACAAATTCTCGAGTACTTATGTATGCGGATTATGTTAAACTCTGTGTCCAGTATAAGCACATTTGATTTCACTCTCGCTTGCAATCTGATCTCAATAGCTTTCAGTCATGGTGCTGTGCAAATATGCTAAAACTTTAATGCCTCGAAGTGCAATGTAATGACTTGTTATCGCTCCAGCCCCTTCGTGGCTCCTTACACCATCTGCGGTAGTTCTCTTGAGAGAATTACATTGGTTGATGATCTAGGTGTTAAACTAGACCCCAAGTTAAAGTTTTCTGAACACATTTCTACCATGGTAAATAAAGCCATGGGTGTGCTTGGGTTTATAAAGAGGTGGTCAAAGGAATTTGAGGACCCCTATATAACGAAGACTCTCTATATCTCGCTTGTTCGTCCGATTTTAGAATACGGCTCATGTGTATGGTGCCCTCAGTACAACATACATCAGGACCGTATTGAATCAGTACAGAAAAACTTTTTATTATTTGCCCTACGGGGCCTCAACTGGGATGCAACTGTGAGACTGCCATCCTACCGTAGTAGACTTCTTTTAATAAATCTTCCATCCTTAGTTAGTCGTAGAAAAATGCTTGGTGTAATTTTTATGCACAACTTGATCAAGGGGGATGTAGACAGCCCTGACTTGCTGAGCCGCATAAACTTTGCGATTCCCATTAGACCCACTAGAAACTTTATTCCTTTGTTCCTTCCACTATGTAGATCGAATTATGCCTCACACGAACCCTTTAGGGTTTTATGCTCGGATTATAATTCCATCTACCACATTATATCCTCAACTAACTCCCTTCCTCTTCTTAAATCTCTTATACTAGCCTACCTCTCCCGTAGTTAGTTTCATTTTAGTTTTGTCTTGTTTGTGATTTTGGTAATTTTTGCTTCCTTAGCTATAGT